AAAAAAAAAAAAAAAAAAAAAGGCAAATTCATTCCTTCCTTTCCATTGCCCTAAAAAGTGAAAAACTGCTGCAATCCCTATCCTAAGCAGCTGTTGAACAAAACTTACCGTTTTTCCATGCCCGGAGCAGTTCAGCTGTAGAACTTAACCCATCAAATGGGACATGGATGGCACCACAGTTTTCAGAGCCCAAAGCGTGCATTTAGGTTATACTTAGCCCAGAATGCAGTGATTATTTAGTCAAATATTACATCACATGCAGAGTTCATTGTGGTTATGATCAAACTAAAAGCATGGGCCAAAAGTATTTTGGTAAAGAAGAGTATTACCTGGGATCCATCTGTGGTTTGAAAGCAACTTTCAGTTCTTCCACAGAAGCACACTGACTTGTAAGCTTTTCTAAGAATTCTTCCAATTTTGAAGGATCAGAGTCTATTGAGAATGAACTCAGCAAGTAGAAAATATTTGTGAAATCTCCACCTGAAAAAGAAAACTCTGAGTAACGCAACTAATAAATCAGCAGGAAAACAGGTCTGATATTTTCTTCCTACCCACCCTGCGCAGCAGTACAGGTCACCTCTCTGAACAGGGAAATAAACTGCTCCCTCAGTGAGGGTGCAAGTGCGAGACACGGGGAGCCTTCTATCAAGGCAACGACTGCCTTGAACACAGTTCACAAGAAGGTAATTATTTTTCAGCTTCTTGCTCTTCTCTCAGATGACAAGGTACCTGCACAAGGCTGCTATCTTGTAAGGGCAAGACAAAACCTATATTTTGCTTTGACTATAAAATACTGATGAGCTATTAAACAACCACCCACTGTGGTGCTCCTGACCAACCTGTGAGATGCATGGTTTCAAGGAGTTCAGACACCAGTCTACTATCTTCTTCTAATTCCAGCTGGATTAGGCCTAGTTTCTTCCTCATCTTTTGCAAATAATGTTTCTCAAATTCTGCATCATATTCCTCTTCCAGGATGAGTTCACTTATTTCCAAGGGCAGCTCTGGAACTAGAGCTTCTGCAAGCTTCCCCAGGTTCCACTTGCAAATCTCTGGCTGCTTGTTGTAAGCATAGCGCCCTGTATTATCAGAACCATTGCAAATGTGCTCAGGGTCATATCTACAAATGAAGAAATTGTTAGCATTCTTCTAGTTATCTAGACACCAATATTGTGATAAGTATCATATGTATTATTTTAGTCTCCTTTAGGAAACTAAAAAAATGGAAAGGGAACGCTCCTTTTTGATTCTTTTCCCAAAGTTACCTTATTAGATATTTTCCTACCCTCGCAAACAGAAACTCCACAGGCTACAAGAACAGTCTAACAGCTAGAGATGTTGTGAATACAGTTAAAAAGAAGTTGAAAAGAAGAATTACAGGACAACTAGAACTAAGTTCATCTATTTTGCCATAAAGAGGGCTCATAAATCTACTTTACAGTTAAAATATTAAAGCAATCATGAATATCAGGATTGTTCTACATAGCAAATACATACGCACTTTTCAAATATTATACCACACTGACCTGTCCATAAATCCAAAAGGGCCGTAGTCAATGGTCAGTCCAACTATGCTCATATTATCTGTATTCAGCACACCATGGCAAAACCCAACACACTGCCACTCTGCAACCAATCTTGCTGTCCGTTTTGTTATCTAAAAGAGATTTTTTTTTTTTCCTTTTTCAACACCATATATTTCCAATACATTCACGTATTTCCAAGCATTTCCTAGTCTGAACTGATCCTTCTACAGCTCTGATGGAAACTGATTCTGGCAGTACGCCATACACACAAATATCTTAAAGACAGCTTGCCTCTCTCCTCCTGTTAGCAACTGCTCTGTTTCTCACTCCCCCATTTCTGCTTGCTTCCTCTTCTTTCCTTCCATGCTTGACTTGCAAGTCAACTGGACAGCTTCAAAATGTACTGCAGACAGAACACTGAAATAAGGTAAACTGTTTGACACCAGGCTTTCCTACTACTCTAGACATTACACAAACATACTCTTTTGCTTACTACTAATTTTAAAGACCCTTTAACTACAGGCAGGAGAAAACATAAGCAAAGCCTAAGAAATAATATTACTATGTGCAACAAAGCCCAATGTAAAGTTAGTCTTCTGGTTTACCTGGTATATAGGAGTGATTTACAGGAAGGCAACTAAAAAAATATAATTTAACACAAAAAATTATACCCTGCTAAGAAGTTTTAGCACTGATAAGCAATTCCCTTAATTTGCTAAGAGTGGGAAAAAAAGCTACAAAGTAAAAACATTCCAAGAATTTTATTTAAATGCAATTCTTCACCAAACGCATGCTTCACCAGAGATTTTTCAGTTGCTTAACTGAGAGTTATTGTTGTGGAATCCTTGACTGCAATCACTGCATGTGCCTCATTCTTCAAATAAATAGTGTAATATTTTAAAATAGTTCTAGTTATTTAATTAAATTAGCCCACCTGCCAACTACAACTAGATATGCCCTATGAAATCTAAAATTCAGGAAGCCAACCTGGCTTTTAAATAAACCTGGGTGTTTCTAAATACTTTACCAAATTGCTGTAAATAAAAATTTTATGTAGTCATTAGCTAAAACTTTTAAACCAAACTATTTTCATACCTAAAAATTACTCATCTTCCCCAATAGCTATCAATGTATAGAAATTTAAAGCAACTATTCTCCCCAAATGCAATGTAAATGCAATGTATTAAGGTTTAACAAAACCAAGCTAGTTAGCAGAGGAGAAGGCACTCCAAGTAGCTACACGTGTCCAAAACTGATTACCAGCATGTCATAAACCAGTAGGGGAGACACGCCCTGCACAACAGCTCTGAGCCACGATGATGGCAAAACTTAAAAATAAAAAAAATCCAGGCCGCCAGGGTTGGGATGACAGCACGCCAGTGGTAACGCAATTCATGACTGCTGCATGTCTTTGTAGGAATGCATGACACACTGCCAGTGTTCCGATAAAAAAATAAATCCTGCTAATGAGAACACCTGAAAGCAAGTAAAGCTTGGGCACGTAAAGCTTCAGAGATGTGTATACTCATTAAAAAGAGATGGCTTTGCACTCACTTTGACCTTCGTTCTTTTCAATCACATTTTTCTACTGCTAGCCATGCTAGAAAACAAGTATGGTGTATACATAAATGAGAGCATTATCTCAAGGACATGCTCATTTAAATTTAAATAACACCTACAAATTATTTGAGAAGCACGGAAAATGGTGTTTACTTTCTAGACAGCACTGTCAAATGCCATCACTCATACTTTTTTCTTCCATTTCTTCCACAATAGAAAAAGAAAGATAAAACACATCAGAGTTGAGCTCACAGCCCTTCCCCACTATTAAAAAAGATAGACGTGTTTGTCAAATTAGGTAAGGGACTGACATGCTTTTCAGATGGAGACAGGAATAGGAAGTCTCCACTAAGGAGGAGAGAAAACATCGGGAGGCAATGCTAGCACACACGTGGAGCACGGACAGGCACAGGCTGGAGGAGCACAACAAACACACACAGCAATGGAGATGGGGGCAATAAAGAAAGGATGCCAGGATGGGAGGAGTAAACCAGTAGTAACTGGGCCAGGAAAGGCAGCCAAAAGCAGAAAGAGGCAGGACTGGGCACACACACACACATCCACAAAGATCCCCAAGTCCCACGGCTTTTCTGCCATCAGAAAGTAAGTGTGCCATCAACTACAGAGCTGGACATGCCCTTCGTGGGTGACAAGACACAGTTCTCATCAACTCCAATCGTTCAAACACAAAAGGCCTGTCCAGTGAAGTTAAACTCTTCGGCAGCCAGTGGTGGACTACACCACACCCTGCTTTTGAAGGACTAATGCAAGTATGCACAGGTTGTGTTAAAGAAAAAAAAAAATCACAAACCTACCCCACAACACAAATTCAACACCCACAAAATTTAAAGAATGTCAGATTTTAAGCCTGCCTTCTGACCCTTTATCGGTCTGTTATGAACATGCATTATGTTGCAGCCATTCCCTCAGTCCCCACCAGATCATTTCAGATTTCAAAGCCTCATGACTGCTTTTACGTAGACTAATTAAATATATTGGACTGTGGTATTTTTAAATTATTCCGTTTACTGGCTAGATTATTTGGATTGTAACATTATTTGAACTTCAGGTGATCCAAATCGGAGCCTTTATTACAGTTCTCCAGTAATTTCAAACTTGATCCCTTCTGCAAGGCTAACATTATTATATAGTAATCACTAAAACATGAAGAGAAGCATCTTAGTCCCTCACTCCAAATTCTTTCTTTGCTCACTGAGACAAAGGAATATAGCAACAGAAATTCCATGTCAAGAATAGCAATACAATATCAACGGTGAGGCAAAAAGTATACACAGGAGATAAAGTTTAGATACCAATTAATTTAGCTATATTTTACTTCAATTAGAAATACAGCAATTCTACACTTACTAATGTTATAGTTCTGATTTTTAATATGGATCTCCTGTAATTGTTAAGGTCTAAATTTATACAGTAATCGAAAATGGGTTCAAAATGGATCTTAGAAATCACCCAGCCTCTCCTCTGGGCCACTGCAGAACGACCTGATACTACACCACATCTAAGACATATTTCTCTCATCTGATCTTACCATTCCCAAAGTTGGAGGTTTTGTAACTTCCTCAGGAAAGCCCTCGCAGTGCCTGACTGCCTTTAAACATTTAAATTCTAAAGCCTGAAGTTAAAGTGATTGGCAGTCAACATTCCTGTTTGTAATATGGAAAATGAGACAGCAAGTGACTCAACATTCTCAGTGTTTTACAAGATGATGCCTTGCAAGTGACGTCTCGGTACCGTCAACTCATCATCTTACAGTCAGACCAGAATTCCACCTCGCAGTCTAAGACACTCAGCAAATGGAGAGCAGTTTTGGGAAGCTCTCCCAAAGCAGAGAAATCATGATGTACTATCAAAAAGGTTAAAACACTTTCATTGGTTTGATCACTATCGACATTGCTTTCATCGATAAGCAGCTCTATTAATAAGAGTGTTTTCTCCAAAGAACAGAATAGTTCAGGCAATTGGACAATACAAGTTTATTAACCAACTTCAGTCATCTGTGCTTGCAGATGAAGCTCCTAAAGACAAGCACTATGGTTTTACGAAGAGAATCTGATCTTTCTTACCTCTTTGAAGAAAGCAGCATTCCTCTGAATACTGTTGTCTGAATAAGCCTCTTGGATTTCTGGATAGAAAGTGCTAATCACATAATCAAGCATCTGTATTCGAATATCATTTCGGTTAACACTGGGACCCTTGCGTCCTGTGTATTCATCAGTAGGTTTAAAGATTTCGAAAGAACCAAATCTGTTTTCAAATAATAAAAACATGTTTTAATATTATCTGGTAATGTGAAATGAAGTTAATAGTACATGCAGTAAAAACATTTACTGCTGTTGCAGTAACACAGCATCTCTTGAATTTAACACCAATCCTTCAACTGACCGAGAGAAAAGAGCCGCAAGATACCTACAGCAAACCTAGGGAGGCTCAGTGACTCAAGGCAAGGAAGCACATACATCCACATGTAACTACACTGACAGATCAAGACCCTAGCCAGTACTGAAGACCAGCTCATTAAAGTTTCTTACAACCATTTCTACAGAAAAATTCTTATCCTGAGTAAATATAAAGAAATAGGACTTATTGAAAACACTAGCTTGCGTATCATGTGTGTAAGAGAGATTTTTCCACATATATATACACACACGCACACAGGCATGCACACATTATACACATACATATACATGTACATATTCCTTATGCCACCCCCTCCTCTAATATTATGTTACCTTACAAGAAGCATGCAACTTCCTGAAACTCTTAATGTTTTGTATCAGAGCAGGAACCTCATACGCTTCTCAGGCAGGGAAAGTACACCCAAACTTTGACAATACTACATTAGAATAGCTTTGGAATTAAGGGTAGAGCTATAATCCACCACCACTACCAACATAAAAAAGCATGTATTCTGGGTGGGCATAAGCATGAAAAATCTCTTCTGAGGTCTGCAGAACTTAGTTCTTCTTTCTACCAGGCTCGCATCCTTAGTGCTTATCTGCCTGGATGCAAAGACACCAGCGCATCCCATCTGCTGGACAAGAGCAGCAGCTTCCAAGAGTTCCAAGCCTCCACAAGAAGACACATGCAAATGGCACTGTTATGGAAATACACTTAAAATGGTATTTTTGGTATTTTAAAAGACTGCTGTGCTTGGTTTTAAAAACAAAACAAAACAACAAAAGAGGCTTCTACCTTATAAATGTAGAAGCTATTCTGAGAACAACTGTACACTTTTCACTTTTTGGATTCCCATCATAAAATATGTCACGGATGACTTTCGAGTCTGATGTCACACATGTTCCAGCCCTTGTTGTTGGTATTCCTAGGTGAAACATAGCCTCGCTGCACAGGAACTCCCGTATGCTCGACCTCAGGACTTTCCGACCATCAGCTTGTCTGCAACAAGAAGACACGGACAGTTTTCAGGCCATAAAGGCAGGAACTCCTGTCTCCCCCTTAGCAGTGGAAACAAAAGCCCAGAAGTGACACGCTCCATCAGCAGTCACACAAAGTAGTCGCAGATCTGAGAACAAAAGCAGGACCTTCGAATTTCTGTTAAAGTTTGATTAAACTGACAAAGAAAATAAACCTTCCAGTTACACATATCCCTTCTAATCATTAACTCTGTTGTGTTTATTGACTCAATAGAGTCTTTCAAAAAAGTTTTGGACAAGTATATTATATAATAAAGCCCTGGTTTCCTCTTACTAAAATGGCTACTGTTATACCTCTTGAAAAATAGTATTATTTTTGATCTTTCTGGGTAAGCAATGTAGAAATGGGGTGTTAAATACAGGCACGCATGGCAGCTGCATTAAAAAAACCAAACACCTAAACAGACAGCAGATAGCAAACCAGCTTATTTAATAGATATCAAGTAAACGGCACAGGCACGGGTGGTTCTCAGCCCACGCTCCCAGCACTGCAGAAGCCACAGGGAAGCAGGAGAGCTGCCCAGGGCAGACCTACAATGCTACCACCGTATCTAGGATTTTCACTGGGATTTCCTTAACCTTTACAGACCTGAAAAAGGTCTTCAGAGCACCACGTGCATGAAACTAAGGTGTTACTGAGCCTGTGTACAGCTGGAACAGAAAATATAGGAAATGCAAGTGGGAAAAGTGACCTGAAAGATTTAAAGCTGTGCAGACTAAACCAGCTAATGAAGATCGCCATCCATCCCTTGCAGGGATTTGGTCAGTATGCCATTCCCTCCCACAGCCAGGAAGGACAGAGGGAAGGCACTGCTGGCAGCAAGCAGAAGGACTGGCAGCACAAACTGAACACCCGCATTTTAAATACTGCTTGTGTGGGCCATAGGACAATATGGCAGCAAACAGTCAGGTGGCTATTACACACTGCTGTCCCCACTTTCATCACTGTCTGCCTCTTCCTAAGTAGGAAAAAACCTCAGAGGAGGATAAGCAGGGACCGAGGTAACGTATCGCCTGAAGGAGATGCAATTACAGCCTTACTTTCCAGGGGAAAATTTTGCCACCTTCTGGTTTGGCATTTAAGCATTACACTTGCTGCACCGAAGATAAAACAAACACACACACACACACACGAGGGCTTAAGAGATGACCTCTGCCTCGGGGAATGACCCTCGGCACAAAACCAGCTGGAAAAGCACCGTGCTAATGCAGTTAGCACCCAGGGAGGCCCGTCCCCAGTCTCTCCCCGCAGGGGGGCATGGAGGAGCAACTCGTCCAAAAACGGGCTTCACCGGGCTATCCCGGCATCGTCCCTCCC